ATATATTGAAATCAGTTTTATGGAGTGATGTTGGATCATGAGAATGTGGTTATTACTAAGAAGATAGGGCAGGCACGCTACAGATTTCAGACCTTACTATTTTGATTTATAAGCCAGGATTGCTAGGATAAATTCTTGCCTTTGTCATAAACAGGGGTATTTTCAAGGCCAGTGAGGACAGTCGATGCATGAACACCACCGTTTGCCCCAGCGCAGCCCACAGTGGACCTTGCCAGCTGACCACCGGGCGCTCTGCCTCGCCTCGCCTCGCCTCATCTACTGCCATTCACCCAGACCATCGTTCCTCTCACTTTCTCCAGATGGTCAACCTCCTTCCAGTTCCTGGGTCCTCAGAGGAGTCCTTTTCTCTGCCTGGAGCCTCCTTTCCCCTCCGCACCCTTTGGGACTCTGCCAGATGGACTCCACAGGGAGCCCTGGCAGCCCCCTGCAGCGACGGGGCCTTCTGCTGTTCTCAGGGCGCCCACGACCCTGCCGTACCCGCCCTCTGTGGGCATGAATCTGCTGGGTGGTTATGGGTTTAATGCCCGGCGCCCCCTACGCTCTAAGTCTACACATTTACTTAGTTTACCACCATTTCCATCCTCACATGGGAGGAGGCATCCATGTCCGTTGACTAAACAAATAAATGACCAGATTTTCTAAACAGCTCACTAGACAAGTCAGATCGTAACCATTAAGCTACATTTAATCTTGCATAAAACTACCGTCAGATTTAAGCCTGCAAAGATTTCTTTTGAGTATAAATACCATTACTCTAAATTATTAGGAAACACAGTAGGGGGAACATTTGTGCTTCTACCTTATTAATTTTTAAACCTTTAAATCATATGCCAAACTCTTGCCCAACATTCGATCCAACATTAATTCTGACGAAAACAAGTATTTCTTTTTACTAACTAGCTTCAACCGAAAAAATGTACTTATTTGTTAAACATAAACTACACAAAAGAGCAAAAGTAAACGCAGGTGCCATTACCATTCTCGCTTCCGGTAACAAAGGACACTGGTCACCACCCCGACAATGACCGCCACGGCCACGGGGATGAGGATGGCGATGATTAGCCCCACGGCTGGAAAGAGAATGTTGCAAATATTAAAACCCCCGCTTCCAGGATGGAGTCTAGAACACATTTATATCAGAAAATATTTAAGTGGGTAGCTGATAAAAAAGAAGTCCCGCCTGCTCCAGGAACACTGGAACTACTCGAGCATACCCTTCGAGCACGTGAACAGTTCCTACCCTCGCACTTCAATTCTTCCGAGTAGGGTTTCTCAACCTCGGCCCTATTGACACTGCGGGCCAAGTATTTCTTCACCGTGTGTGTCTGTGTGTTGGGGGAAGGCTGCTGTGTACACAGTAGGAAGTTTAGCAGCATCGCTATGGTCCTCACCCCTAGCTCTCCGAAGTGCCAGCAGACATTGCCAGGTGTCCCCAGGGAGGCCAAAGTCCCCCCCAGTTGAGAACCACAAGCTCACGGTCATTTATGCAAGCGAGTGTGTGACCTCCAAAGTAACGAGAATAAATCCGAAGTCCTCTCAGGGCCTTTTAACCTGCCGTGCGCCCACTGGAAAAATGCCATCAGTGGGAAACTTAGACAAGGGGATCCCCACATAAGCACGAATCGCTGAAAACACGGTGCCTGCAAGTGTGGGAAGCACCTCCCGGCACGGCACACTCACAGTTCTCCTTGGTCACCACGAACATGCCCTTCTCGGGGCCCAGGCCGCCGTCCGTGTAGGCGCGCAGGACCAGGTGGTAGCTGGTTTTGCCTTGAAGGTCAGCGATCCGCAGGGTCTTCTGGGAGATGTCGGTGATGTTCTTAACTTTCACGTCGGAACGGCCTGTTTTTAAAGCGAAGAAGACTGTGATCATCTCTGTGCATTTTTAACGCGTGGGCACTGCAGCTGTCACACCCGTGTCCCCGGGAGGTGAGTCCAGTGGCGGCCCCCCTGCAGGCCTGGGACCGGGGAGCCAGCCAAGCCACGGCCACGCTCCACCTCTGCCGCCGAGTAGCCATGTGAGCTGGACCTTATATTTAAACCCCCTGAACCTGAGCGTCTCCAACCATGAAACGGAGTATCGGGCCTTATCTGGCGAGGCCGTGGGAGGTTCTCACACACACGTTGCCCGGAATGACACCTGGCACGCGGAAGGCAATAACTACAAGTCCTTCTCTTTCTGCTGCAAAGAGCATGAACACCACGGGCAGGCCCACCGGGGCGGGGCCGCGGTCACTCCCTCTGGCCCTGCCTGTGTGCTGAGACCAGAGGCCGCGAGAGGACAAATCAGTGGAGACGGCTCCAAACCACCCAGAAACACAGGCTTCCCAATGAGGCACCAGTGAGGCAGCCTCTGAGTCATTTCAAAAAGTAAAGGATTGTTGAAAGGGCTTCGCCAACACACGTAGATGCGTAACCCACAGACAACAGTGTGGTGCTGGCCAGAGGGAGGGGCGGGGGCTGCGTGGAGGCGGGCAGAGGGGGAAAAATGGGGACATCTGTAACAGTGTCAATAGTAAAAACAAAGGGAAAAAGAAAAGAACTGTTTAAACTATCATTTTTTAAATCTCAACCAAAACAACACAAGACACTAGTTTTAAAAAATTAAATCATATTATAGAGCTAAGAACCAAAAAGCAGCCGTTCCCTGCCAGCTCCTGCCCCCCACCCCCGACCCACACCCACTTTAGAATCATGTTACCAGTTTCCTTGGATATTGGTTGTGTGGGACCACGCAGAAAACTGTGGTCCAACCATTTCAAAACGAACTTCGATGGGCAGGGCCTGATTTTTAAATTTTGGAATTATCTACCCCTGTCCCACAGGTAGACGCTAAGCTCGCTCTCACCACTACCCCTCTGCCCCCAGCCCCACATCATTCATCCAGAAACATCAACACGTTTGGCACAGCTGGTGTTTCCATCACTGTGGTCATATAAACGTGGATTAGTGCAAGGACGTGTTTTGGTATGATGTTTCCTGTCTTGCTTTTCTGTTGTTATAACTGCTTTTTACCCTTATTTGCTTGCTGTACCAATTCCTAATTCCTCCTACATCCTCCAATGAATATTCAATACAACTTTCTACGTGGTCCAACACAACCAAGCCCCAGGATCATGGCCCTTCCCCAACCCTGTACTGGCCTCCCCCCTTCCGTCTGCTGCCCCTCAGGCCACTCCTCCCAAAGCCTCTGCCCTGGACTGGACTCCCCACTATGCCCCACTACGTCCTCACAGGTACATGGGTGTAGCGGCTTCCTGAGAGAGGGTGTGTGCGGGAAGGAAGCGTGCGGGCCTGCATGTCTAAAAAATGCCCCCATTCTGCTCGCATACTTGTTGGTAGACGGCTGAGCACAGAATTCCAGGCTGAAAATAATTTTCACTCAGCATTTTGAAGACACAGCTGTGATACCTTCTAGAACAGTGATGGCGAACCTTTTGAGCTCGGCGTGTCAGCATTTTGAAAAACCCTAACTTAACTCTGGTGCCGTGTCACATATAGAAATTTTTTGATATTTGCAACCATAGTAAAACAAAGACTTACATTTTTGATATTTATTTTATTTATTTAAATGCCATTTAACAAAGAAAAATCAACCAAAAAAATGAGTTCGCGTGTCACCTCTGACACGCGTGTCATAGGTTCGCCATCAGTGCTCTAGAATCTGGTGCGTTGTGGAGAGTCTGGGGCCAGCTTAGTTCTGAGGGCATTCTGACCAGTCTTCTGTCTTTTCCCTGTTAGTTCTTTCTAATACGAACAGCAGAACTCAACAGCCCCCAGACAGCTTTGTTCTGCTTTAAATGACTGCTTGCCCACCTGGAACCCGTTCCCTCCGATTCCTTCTGGTTCCTGTCTTTCATGAGAGGAGCTTTCTCAGCCCCTGGTCACCCCTGGCGGTGACCCCTGCTCCAGAGCCACTAACAGGCCACGAAGGCCCAGTGCACGTGGGTGGGTTCACTGGGTGGCGGGCCTCACTGACTCCTGGTCGGGAATGACCAGGCTTTTCCCTGGGACGGTCCCTCAACTATCAGCATCTGTTATGTCCTCCACCAGGAACTACTTGCCTTCCCAAAGGAAGCGCCTCTAATCCCGTGCCTGAGAACAAAGGCCCGGAGACGTCCTGTTAGCTGGGTGGGAAGGCGCGGAGGAGGGAGGGTCGTGCCGTTACTAAGGTGTCTCCTCTCCCCGTCCCATCCCATCTGGAGGCTCTTGGTTCAGTTTCTCCAAAAAACACCCCTCTTGTGTTCAGGCAGGGGAGAGGCATTCATAGCAGCCACATGAAGCAGGCGGAGGGCTTGGGTTCTAACTGCTCCTCACGCAGACTTCCCATCACCCCCCGATGTCCAGTCCACATCCATCCTGACATTTGCTCTGATCCTGGCCCCTCAGGATGAATCCAGTGATTTCTCAGTGACGCTGACTGCCCGCTGGATCCCACGGCTCCCTCCCAACAGCCCCAATGTCCAACTCCTCCTTCCTGGTGCTCTCCCACCTCTCTAGTGCTCTTTGTCTCTGTGGCTTTATGCGTTCTTGTTGTTGTTTCTTTCCTGTCTCACTCTAATTTCACCGACCATTCCACCGTGTCGCACTGGAAGTCTAGCTGCTAGAATTCTAACTGGCTCAAGTGTAAAATTTCTGAGCATTTGAGGAAAATTACACCAGACTCTGATGTCTGTAGAATTTGGTAGTTAGGGGTTCCCTCCTTCAGGAGCCACTCTGAAGGCTCAGGAAATGCAGACTCGGTGACCGGGAGCTGCTCTGGGGAAGGGACTTAGCGCAGGCCGGTCGGCGTCTCCACGTGCGGATGCCCTTCTCTACCTGAATAATTCAAGTGGCTTCTTTCCGGAGAGAGGTCATTAAGGGAAATGGAAGCCCTCAACGGATCAGATGATCGGCTTGAGTAATGTGGCTACGAATCAGAAACATCTGACTCCCACAGAAATATAAGGTAGGGAAAAGCCAGGAGCCAGCATCAATATTTCTGTAGTTGCAAGTCTGGGAGTTCTGAGTTCTCTAAATCCTTTGGGCATGCACTTACCAGGTGTCAGGGGCTGGCTGTACTTTTAAGATCTAATGGATACACTTGTCCCCAGTCGAGGCCATTAAGTTTCTCAGTTCATTTGGGTCGTGGCTGTGAGGGTGGCTGTTTGTCAGAAAACAAAGGAGGCTCCAAAGCTATTCTTCGGGTTCCTGAGTTTTCCTCCTCCATTATTGTAAGTTCAGGAAGACTGTTTTTTGTTTGTTTTGTTTTTTTAAGTGACCTTCATAAGATGCTATGGTATGGATCATGCCAGACTAGTAGGAGATGGGGCTTAGAGTCCAAGGTTTCAAAATAAATAACTTGAATAATTTCTGAAAGACTGCACACTTCATTTACCATGTGCTTCCGATCTTAAAATTCTCATGTTCATAAAATGACTGCATTTTCACTTCCCCGTTTTTCAGAGCGTTTTGGAAACCAGCATTAAAGCAAGGAGCAGCTCTTTCCTCCCTCCGTTATTTGTTGTGAATGAAGAACTTCTGGGAAGCACTGCTGTCACTTTAGTGATGAACTTACCCGACTCCAAGCCTCTCATCTTCGAGGTGTCTCTCTCTCCTTTTTCAAAGTAAAACACATATCCTCTTAGGAAGCCTCTGAGCTCCTCCACGGGTATATCTTCCCACTTCACGAGGATCGAATCTGCAGACGTGTCCTCCACGGTGAAATTTGGTGCAACGGTTGGAGCTGGAAAAGGAGACGGTCGACAGCTGAGGGAGAGGTCACTAACGCAGAGTAAGACATCAACAGTTAATGAGTTTCCAGCCTCGAAAAGAGCTAAGTTTGCCCTAGCCGGCTTGGCTCAGTGGATAGAGCAATGGCCTGTGGACTGAGGGTCCCAGGTGCGATTCCCCTCAAGGGCACATGCCTCGGTTGAGGGCTCGATCCCCAGTAGGGGGCGTGCAGGAGGCAGCCGATCAATGGGTCTCTCTCATTGTTGATATTTCTCTCTCCCTCTCTCTTCCTCTCTGAAATCGATAAAAGTATATTTTTTTAAAAAAGAGTTACAATTCAAATGAAAAGCTTATTTCCTATTTAATCATAGACGTTCACAGATATTACTACACACCCTTTGGCTGTGAAGCTAGCAACCAAACATGCAAAGGTAGAACTTGCTATCTAGGGAAGCAACCTACACAAAATCTCTAAGTGGCTACTCAAATAGATTCCATTCGTATTTTCCCCTTTGTTGATGGTCTGGCATAAGTTAATAGCTGTTTAAATCTGTAGAACTACAAATTAAGTAATTTTGAAATAAGATTTTTTTCAATGACAATAAATTTGTGAAATACAAACACAAAAGAATAAGTAATCATAATTTTAAATGTATCACACAAATTATTTTTCCTTCCTTGAACTAAACCTCCCAATTTAATCTACTTTTAGAATCCAACTGCTGTCGATTCATGTTACCTTGACCTAAGAAAACGTACCCATTTAACTTACCCAATTCTTCTACATATCCAATCACAGAGCGCAGCAACTGGTAGCCGTGGCTTCTGCACCCGTACAGGAAGAAGTGGTACCGCACGCCTGGGCGAAACTGATCTGTAGGAGGGACACAACTGCCATGAATATTTTAGAAATATCAGACGTAAAACAGCTTCCTCTGAAACCGCCAAAGCAAATTTTAAACACACGCTTTCTTATTACAAAAGATATACATCCATATTTTCAAAATTGGTAAATACTCAGAGAGGAAACTGACAAAACAAATTAAATTCACTTTTATTGTAATGAACACTTCAGCATTATAACGTATCACCTTGAAGAGGGGAAAACATGGTGATCGAGGCTTTGATTTTGTTCCTTAAAACCAGGCAATGGCAGGCTGAATCCGCATTGGGTGACCTTGGGCAAGTGACCTAACTCCTCTCCACCCAGTAGGGCCTCGGCTCCTCTACCTCCTGGCTGGAAGGTGCTCCTCCTCACCCCACAGGTGTCAGCCTTACTTCCGTCCAGGCACGGCATCTACGGCGGTGCCTCTCCATGTCACTCCACCCCCTGTCCCTCCGGAGAACCCTCCAGGACCAGGTGGGGACGATGGAGGACAGCGCAGACACCAGTGTGAGAGGCCCTGGAGCTGCCTGTGGGGGAAATGCGAGGGGAGGCCCAGGGAAGGGGTGGGTGCAGCCAGCACGCTGGGGAGTGCGGGGAGAAAGGATAACGGAGCCACCATCCCTGCCCTGGCCAATCTGCACCGGAAGCAGCTTGGCTGCCTTTCAAGTAGACCCGGAACCGGATCGGACCCCACAGGTGGTCACCGAACAAAGGAGTCTCATCCCCACCGTCTGACAGTGACAGGGAGCAAGGGGGAACAGCCAGCACCGCTTGCTCTCCAACCACACGAGCAGGGGAGGACCAGCCGCGGGGGAGGATGGCTCCACCACAGGCTGCCGGTTCCAGGCCCCCTGGGTAGAGACACAGCCCTGGTCAGCTACTCGGAAGGAAGAGCGAGGCTAGGAGAGGGCACTCATTCCCAAGGACAAGGTCACCCAGTGCCCCTGGGGCTAATCCAGGCCGCAGGGCCTCCAGGCAGCTCACCAGAGGCTCGGTGGGGCTGGTGAGCGGTCAGGGAGCTGGCCCCGCCCATGTGCCCACTGCCACACTGAGTGCCCTTGATGGACATCAGATAAGTGGTCATGTGGGTGCAGGGCCTTCAGGCTCGGCGTCTCCCTGACCCTGGCACCGGGCCCTGGGCAAACACAGGCAATGACACTGCGTGTGGCCCCACTCCTCACAGCTCTGTAGCCTCCTGCGTGAGCATCTCCCGTGTTAACCCTTCCACGCACGCTTCAGGGCTGCGCCACTCTCCATTACATACCAGTGCCAGGACTGGCTCCTTCTCCTACTCACTGCTCAATTCAATGTTGATGCCGATAGATAGTGCTGTGGTGAGCATTCTCAGCTGTGAATCTGTGCTGCTCTGTTTCTTAGAATAAACTCCTAGACGAGTCATTCCTAGATTGAGGGATCTGAACCCTTTCACACTCACATTCCCCAAAGCACCTTCCAGAAAAGCTGACCAGCCCAAGCCTGCCCAGCGGGGAGAGAGACCGGTCCCTGCACTGCACCAGCTGCCCCTGGCTGCTCTCCTGACCCTGCCCCCGGAAAGCCCTCGGAGCACGCACCCGACTCGATGACGGCCTGGGTGCTGTCGGCGGGGACCTTCTTCCAGTCCATGAGGCAGGGCTGCGGCTGCGACGTGTTGCACCACTTAATGACGTAGTCGCAGGTCATGTTGGGGTCGTAGTTCCACGTGAGGAGGATCCCGTTCCCCATTCCCACTGTCTGCTCTACTTTGAGATCATCTTCAACGACAAAGGAGGACATTTTGCTGATGTGACGAATAATAACGTAAGGCAAAACCTCATGAAAGTGGGCAAGAGTTAGAGAAATTACTTCCCTGCAGATAAATTTTAGAATAGGGCTCCGGCCAGGGAAACCGTTAGTAAAATGGGGGAGTGTGGCTCTGCTATCTTTGTTGTAACTATGGCAGTCACCTGTGCATACAGATGAACTCAGCAGCTGAAACAAAGGAATGAAAAAGCAGTAGGATCAGGGGGCGAGGTGGTGGGGCCAGGACACGAAGATGGAGGGCCAGGGCCGGGAAGGCTCAGGCAGAGGGAGGGGTGAGGGCACTGGAGGGGATGGCAGGGCGTGAGCAGGCAGTCTAGGCTGCGCCCTTCCTCTTGTCACCCCTGTGGGTGCGAGCTCCGTGGCAGCCGGGCCGAGCCTGCAACCCCAGCCTGGGCAGAGCACACAGAGCAGGGAGGGAGCGCACAGCAGGAGGCAGGTGTGGCTGCACCAGCCTGTCTCTTCGTTCCTAGGCGACTTCCCCCTCCCCCACATGGACCGCAGGGGTTGTAGGCAGGGAGAGGAGGAGTCTGCTGCAATGGTCTGGGATGAACAGCTGTGAGATGGGATGGCCAGTGTGGACCCGGAGGGCCAGAAACCTAAATTGTCATTCATGAAGCAACCACTCCTGAACACAGGCAACAGCCTGCTTAGAATAAAGAAGACTTCGGGCATTCACAGCTTTGGCTCAGTGAGACTAAAGGCCCGCGACGTCAGCCTGTGCTGTGCCCGCAGGCCTGTATTCGGGGACCCTCGGGGACACAGGCTGCTCCTGGCGGTCAGGAGCCAGAGCTGAGGGCCAGGTGCTGTGGGCTCTGTATGTCACTGTCCTCTGGAGACACATGGAAAAGGTAACAATATCGATCCTGCATTGGAAGGTAGCCCGGCTACTGCCCATCATTGGGAGCAACGAAGTACCCAAGTCAGTGGTCATCTGCCTCGGGGCTGTTCACACATCCCTCTCTCTCTTTTTTCTGCCGCCACCCTCTCCGGGGCATGGGTGTGTGTGGACAGCCAGGTGTGCACTGACACTGGGCCTGTGGGTGTGGAGTAGGTGTGCACCGACACTGGGCCTGGTGGGTGTGGACAGCCAGGTGTGCACTGACACTGGGCCTGGTGGGTGTTTGTGTCTCTGAAATGTGCTTTGCTTCCCTTTCCTTCCTTCTGAATCCCCTGCGATCCACTCAAACACAGAACCAGTTCAGTAACAAGCGATAAGACTGCCTCCGGCCAGAAGTGAAAGGATATGAGAGGGCCCTGCCTGGACCATCCGTCTTCCTTCGGGAGTGGGTGGTCAGAGAGATGCCCCCTGTTGGGGCAGGACAGCGGGGGGGGGTGGGCAGAGAGATGCCCCCTGTTGGGGCAGGACAGCGGGGGGGGGTGGGCAGAGAGATGCCCCCTGTTGGGGCAGGACAGCGGGGGGGGGTGGGCAGAGAGATGCCCCCTGTTGGGGCAGGACAGCGGGGGGGGGTGGGCAGAGAGATGCCCCCTGTTGGGGCAGGACAGCGGGGGGGGGTGGGCAGAGAGATGCCCCCTGTTGGGGCAGGACAGCGGGGGGGGGTGGGCAGAGAGATGCCCCCTGTTGGGGCAGGACAGCGGGGGGGGGTGGGCAGAGAGATGCCCCCTGTTGGGGCAGGACAGCGGGGGGGGGTGGGCAGAGAGATGCCCCCTGTTGGGGCAGGACAGCGGGGGGGGGTGGGCAGAGAGATGCCCCCTGTTGGGGCAGGACAGCGGGGGGGGGTGGGCAGAGAGATGCCCCCTGTTGGGGCAGGACAGCGGGGGGGGGTGGGCAGAGAGATGCCCCCTGTTGGGGCAGGACAGCGGGGGGGGGTGGGCAGAGAGATGCCCCCTGTTGGGGCAGGACAGCGGGGGGGGGTGGGCAGAGAGATGCCCCCTGTTGGGGCAGGACAGCGGGGGGGGGTGGGCAGAGAGATGCCCCCTGTTGGGGCAGGACAGCGGGGGGGGGTGGGCAGAGAGATGCCCCCTGTTGGGGCAGGACAGCGGGGGGGGGTGGGCAGAGAGATGCCCCCTGTTGGGGCAGGACAGCGGGGGGGGGTGGGCAGAGAGATGCCCCCTGTTGGGGCAGGACAGCGGGGGGGGGTGGGCAGAGAGATGCCCCCTGTTGGGGCAGGACAGCGGGGGGGGGTGGGCAGAGAGATGCCCCCTGTTGGGGCAGGACAGCGGGGGGGGGTGGGCAGAGAGATGCCCCCTGTTGGGGCAGGACAGCGGGGGGGGGTGGGCAGAGAGATGCCCCCTGTTGGGGCAGGACAGCGGGGGGGGGTGGGCAGAGAGATGCCCCCTGTTGGGGCAGGACAGCGGGGGGGGGTGGGCAGAGAGATGCCCCCTGTTGGGGCAGGACAGCGGGGGGGGGTGGGCAGAGAGATGCCCCCTGTTGGGGCAGGACAGCGGGGGGGGGTGGGCAGAGAGATGCCCCCTGTTGGGGCAGGACAGCGGGGGGGGGTGGGCAGAGAGATGCCCCCTGTTGGGGCAGGACAGCGGGGGGGGGTGGGCAGAGAGATGCCCCCTGTTGGGGCAGGACAGCGGGGGGGGGTGGGCAGAGAGATGCCCCCTGTTGGGGCAGGACAGCGGGGGGGGGTGGGCAGAGAGATGCCCCCTGTTGGGGCAGGACAGCGGGGGGGGGTGGGCAGAGAGATGCCCCCTGTTGGGGCAGGACAGCGGGGGGGGGTGGGCAGAGAGATGCCCCCTGTTGGGGCAGGACAGCGGGGGGGGGTGGGCAGAGAGATGCCCCCTGTTGGGGCAGGACAGCGGGGGGGGGTGGGCAGAGAGATGCCCCCTGTTGGGGCAGGACAGCGGGGGGGGGTGGGCAGAGAGATGCCCCCTGTTGGGGCAGGACAGCGGGGGGGGGTGGGCAGAGAGATGCCCCCTGTTGGGGCAGGACAGCGGGGGGGGGTGGGCAGAGAGATGCCCCCTGTTGGGGCAGGACAGCGGGGGGGGGTGGGCAGAGAGATGCCCCCTGTTGGGGCAGGACAGCGGGGGGGGGTGGGCAGAGAGATGCCCCCTGTTGGGGCAGGACAGCGGGGGGGGGTGGGCAGAGAGATGCCCCCTGTTGGGGCAGGACAGCGGGGGGGGGTGGGCAGAGAGATGCCCCCTGTTGGGGCAGGACAGCGGGGGGGGGTGGGCAGAGAGATGCCCCCTGTTGGGGCAGGACAGCGGGGGGGGGTGGGCAGAGAGATGCCCCCTGTTGGGGCAGGACAGCGGGGGGGGGTGGGCAGAGAGATGCCCCCTGTTGGGGCAGGACAGCGGGGGGGGGTGGGCAGAGAGATGCCCCCTGTTGGGGCAGGACAGCGGGGGGGGGTGGGCAGAGAGATGCCCCCTGTTGGGGCAGGACAGCGGGGGGGGGTGGGCAGAGAGATGCCCCCTGTTGGGGCAGGACAGCGGGGGGGGGTGGGCAGAGAGATGCCCCCTGTTGGGGCAGGACAGCGGGGGGGGGTGGGCAGAGAGATGCCCCCTGTTGGGGCAGGACAGCGGGGGGGGGTGGGCAGAGAGATGCCCCCTGTTGGGGCAGGACAGCGGGGGGGGGTGGGCAGAGAGATGCCCCCTGTTGGGGCAGGACAGCGGGGGGGGGTGGGCAGAGAGATGCCCCCTGTTGGGGCAGGACAGCGGGGGGGGGTGGGCAGAGAGATGCCCCCTGTTGGGGCAGGACAGCGGGGGGGGGTGGGCAGAGAGATGCCCCCTGTTGGGGCAGGACAGCGGGGGGGGGTGGGCAGAGAGATGCCCCCTGTTGGGGCAGGACAGCGGGGGGGGGTGGGCAGAGAGATGCCCCCTGTTGGGGCAGGACAGCGGGGGGGGGTGGGCAGAGAGATGCCCCCTGTTGGGGCAGGACAGCGGGGGGGGGTGGGCAGAGAGATGCCCCCTGTTGGGGCAGGACAGCGGGGGGGGGTGGGCAGAGAGATGCCCCCTGTTGGGGCAGGACAGCGGGGGGGGGTGGGCAGAGAGATGCCCCCTGTTGGGGCAGGACAGCGGGGGGGGGTGGGCAGAGAGATGCCCCCTGTTGGGGCAGGACAGCGGGGGGGGGTGGGCAGAGAGATGCCCCCTGTTGGGGCAGGACAGCGGGGGGGGGTGGGCAGAGAGATGCCCCCTGTTGGGGCAGGACAGCGGGGGGGGGTGGGCAGAGAGATGCCCCCTGTTGGGGCAGGACAGCGGGGGGGGGTGGGCAGAGAGATGCCCCCTGTTGGGGCAGGACAGCGGGGGGGGGTGGGCAGAGAGATGCCCCCTGTTGGGGCAGGACAGCGGGGGGGGGTGGGCAGAGAGATGCCCCCTGTTGGGGCAGGACAGCGGGGGGGGGTGGGCAGAGAGATGCCCCCTGTTGGGGCAGGACAGCGGGGGGGGGTGGGCAGAGAGATGCCCCCTGTTGGGGCAGGACAGCGGGGGGGGGTGGGCAGAGAGATGCCCCCTGTTGGGGCAGGACAGCGGGGGGGGGTGGGCAGAGAGATGCCCCCTGTTGGGGCAGGACAGCGGGGGGGGGTGGGCAGAGAGATGCCCCCTGTTGGGGCAGGACAGCGGGGGGGGGTGGGCAGAGAGATGCCCCCTGTTGGGGCAGGACAGCGGGGGGGGGTGGGCAGAGAGATGCCCCCTGTTGGGGCAGGACAGCGGGGGGGGGTGGGCAGAGAGATGCCCCCTGTTGGGGCAGGACAGCGGGGGGGGGTGGGCAGAGAGATGCCCCCTGTTGGGGCAGGACAGCGGGGGGGGGTGGGCAGAGAGATGCCCCCTGTTGGGGCAGGACAGCGGGGGGGGGTGGGCAGAGAGATGCCCCCTGTTGGGGCAGGACAGCGGGGGGGGGTGGGCAGAGAGATGCCCCCTGTTGGGGCAGGACAGCGGGGGGGGGTGGGCAGAGAGATGCCCCCTGTTGGGGCAGGACAGCGGGGGGGGGTGGGCAGAGAGATGCCCCCTGTTGGGGCAGGACAGCGGGGGGGGGTGGGCAGAGAGATGCCCCCTGTTGGGGCAGGACAGCGGGGGGGGGTGGGCAGAGAGATGCCCCCTGTTGGGGCAGGACAGCGGGGGGGGGTGGGCAGAGAGATGCCCCCTGTTGGGGCAGGACAGCGGGGGGGGGTGGGCAGAGAGATGCCCCCTGTTGGGGCAGGACAGCGGGGGGGGGTGGGCAGAGAGATGCCCCCTGTTGGGGCAGGACAGCGGGGGGGGGTGGGCAGAGAGATGCCCCCTGTTGGGGCAGGACAGCGGGGGGGGGTGGGCAGAGAGATGCCCCCTGTTGGGGCAGGACAGCGGGGGGGGGTGGGCAGAGAGATGCCCCCTGTTGGGGCAGGACAGCGGGGGGGGGTGGGCAGAGAGATGCCCCCTGTTGGGGCAGGACAGCGGGGGGGGGTGGGCAGAGAGATGCCCCCTGTTGGGGCAGGACAGCGGGGGGGGGTGGGCAGAGAGATGCCCCCTGTTGGGGCAGGACAGCGGGGGGGGGTGGGCAGAGAGATGCCCCCTGTTGGGGCAGGACAGCGGGGGGGGGTGGGCAGAGAGATGCCCCCTGTTGGGGCAGGACAGCGGGGGGGGGTGGGCAGAGAGATGCCCCCTGTTGGGGCAGGACAGCGGGGGGGGGTGGGCAGAGAGATGCCCCCTGTTGGGGCAGGACAGCGGGGGGGGGTGGGCAGAGAGATGCCCCCTGTTGGGGCAGGACAGCGGGGGGGGGTGGGCAGAGAGATGCCCCCTGTTGGGGCAGGACAGCGGGGGGGGGTGGGCAGAGAGATGCCCCCTGTTGGGGCAGGACAGCGGGGGGGGGTGGGCAGAGAGATGCCCCCTGTTGGGGCAGGACAGCGGGGGGGGGTGGGCAGAGAGATGCCCCCTGTTGGGGCAGGACAGCGGGGGGGGGTGGGCAGAGAGATGCCCCCTGTTGGGGCAGGACAGCGGGGGGGGGTGGGCAGAGAGATGCCCCCTGTTGGGGCAGGACAGCGGGGGGGGGTGGGCAGAGAGATGCCCCCTGTTGGGGCAGGACAGCGGGGGGGGGTGGGCAGAGAGATGCCCCCTGTTGGGGCAGGACAGCGGGGGGGGGTGGGCAGAGAGATGCCCCCTGTTGGGGCAGGACAGCGGGGGGGGGTGGGCAGAGAGATGCCCCCTGTTGGGGCAGGACAGCGGGGGGGGGTGGGCAGAGAGATGCCCCCTGTTGGGGCAGGACAGCGGGGGGGGGTGGGCAGAGAGATGCCCCCTGTTGGGGCAGGACAGCGGGGGGGGGTGGGCAGAGAGATGCCCCCTGTTGGGGCAGGACAGCGGGGGGGGGTGGGCAGAGAGATGCCCCCTGTTGGGGCAGGACAGCGGGGGGGGGTGGGCAGAGAGATGCCCCCTATTGGGGCCGAACCGCGGGGGTGGGTGACTCAGAAGAGGAGCTGATTCCAAGCAGAGGTGACGTGCTATATGAACTCCCCGCCCGGGAAGCTGCCGAGGCGGCTGAGGAGCAATGGCCCCCTCACTGCGAACCATAAAACTTAAAGGAAGGCATTCAGCAATTTAAAAATTACACCAAATTTTTTATAAGTGTATACTGACGCTCTGATTCAGGCTTATCAGTAAGGGATTCCTATTAGAAGAATGTCTTATCCACAAAGCTGCCATTTAAACTGAGTATCTTCTGCTTGGCCGGTGTGGCTCAGTGGTTGAGCTTTGGCGCATGCACCAAGAGGGTTCAACTCCTGGCCAAGGCACATGACCGGGTTTCCAGCACAGTCCCCAGTCGGGGGCATGCAGGAGGCAGCCGACTGATGTTTCTTATTGATGGTTCTCTCTCTCCCTCTCCCTTCCTCTCTCTCTGAAAACAATAAAAACATATTTCCCTGATTATCTTTTCCTGCCTGACAGGAAATAGCCTAGCTTACATAGCATCAACTCCCGTGGTGTTGGGGAGGTAAATAAAAAACGGTATCTGAATAAACAGTTAGAGCATTTCTTCCGAAGAGTAACACCCACGACTGTACCCCTCCTACATGATGCGTTAGAGCAGTGGTCGGCAAACCGCGGCTCTCGAGCCACACGCGGCTCTTTGGGCCCTTGAGTGTGGCTCTTCCTAAGCCTTAGGAGTACCCTAATTAAGTTAATAACAATGTACCAACCTATATAGTTTAAGTTTAAAAAATTTGGCTCTCAAAAGAAATTTCAATTGTCGTACTGTTGATATTTGGCTCTGTTGACTAATGAGTTTGCCGACCCCTGGGTTAGAGTAACAGACACAGTAGTTCCTGTCCATCCACAGATGCGTCAAGGTGCGACTCAGGACTGGGGTCTCAGTGAGCAGTATTCCCGTCTGTTCCTCCTCCTATACCGGCAGCAGGACGAGAGCAAGCCACCCCTTCCAAATACTTCGCTCCCGTTTCCGCTCTCGGGCATCACATTCCCTACGCACTCACCGTTCGGAATTTCCATGCTGGCTATTCTGGAAGGCGGCGATGAGCCCACGGAGTTTTTTGCCACCACACTGATGATGTAGTCGTGTCTGTCCAGTTGTATTTCTGCCTTGTGTTGAGGGTCAGGGATCTCCGAGAGGGACTGTGTTTTCTCCTCCGACGAATAGGATACGTTATAGAAGAGTATTTTCCCATTAGCTTCATTAATGGGTAAAGGCTATGAAAAACAGAAAAATACTTTATGACAAAGCCCTGAAAAACTGACCATCGAGTCCAACCTGAACACTACACAATCACGACACGATAATGCCAGAAAAGATGATGCTGTTACAAACAGTGTAACATCCACGGAGACCTGGGCAAACCAGGAAGGTGAGACGGAAGGAGAACGACAAGTGCTGTGAGCAGTAGGAGCACACAAAACTGTAAAAATTAAGTATGTGAAAAACAACATTCAGTCCGGCCACTGTGGCTCAGGGGCTGAGTGTGGACCGATGAACCAGGAGGTCACGGTTCCATTCCGCCTCAGGGCACATGTCTGGGCTGCGGGCTCAGCCCCCAGTAGGGGCATGCAGGAGGCAGCCGCTCAATGATTCTCTCTCATCACTGATATTTCTCTCTCTCCCTCTCCCTTCCTCTCTGAAATCAATAAAAATATAATTTTAAAAAACCTATTTAACCTCACATTTTTTCAGAAGCAAACCACGAAGTTCCAAGAAGCACTGCTCTATATAAAACCAAAACATTAACAAGTATGGCACCGTGGCTTTTTAAACATTCACTGTTTTCTCACTTGAAGGTGGTACGTGCTCATTACAGAAAATGTGTGTTGTTTCCTTCTGGCCACCAGAACCTCGGACCTTCCGTCTCCTCCACTGGCTCTGCCTGCTTTGCTGGCTGTATATGCTGCCACCTCCCCAGTTCCACCGCCCCCCCTTTCCATCTGCACACCTCCCCAGGGATCCCACTTATACGGGGCTGTGTGAAGGAGTTTAATTCTTGTCCTGTTGTTTATTAACTGCTGTGTTATTTTCCTACCCCCCACCCCCCGCCACATGCCACAAGGCTCTGTCTCCAGCTCCCATCTCTCCCCTTACTTCCAACCACCACCCACTGGGCTCCCCTCGGACAGCCCAGTGACACATGTTTAGAAACCTCAACATGTCCCAAACAACGTAATTTCCAGCCAAATATGGCAGAACAATTAACCTCGTGGCTGCAGTTAGTCTGAATCACTTCAACATTTTTAATCCTCGGTTAAACAGTCATCTAGTTTGAACAATTTTCCGAACTTCGCCCACACTGGAGTCACTTGGGCAATTGCTACCATGACTGTGAGACCTGACAGGCCGCCGCGGGTGGCTAAGGGGACGCAAGTCCCATCCAGACGATCTCAGAGCAACGGGACTTCTATGCTCAGGCCTCACCCCTCAAAGCTGTAGTGATGTCAAGGTTCTGCAAAAACAACCTTGTTCTCCTTTCCACAACAAAATTCACTATTTAAAGGAATCTGGTTATGAAATCTGGTGTAGAAAAACAATTGTTTGTGTTTTTAATGTTCATAAATCAGATAAAAACTATAGCAACAAAAATGTTCGCTCTACTAGGGAAAAACAGTAAAACAGAACGCAATTCGTATTTTATCTAAAATTTTACAAAACTAGTTTACCTGTCATTATTATGACACGATTTATTTAAGGGAAACAAATTACATATAAAATCTATTTTAAAAATTGATTTCCTAGTCATCAAAGAAAAAAAGTACAACACAAATAGTCAGGACTCTAACTTGTCGTGTCTGGCTTTGTTTCTGACTAGAGTGAGAGGGACTGCATCCATGAAACCCTCAGGTCTTTTACAGGCCTCGTAAGGTCACAGCACGGAACGCTGAGATCTGAGACCTCACTAAAGTGGCGGGGGTGCAGCAGCGAGGAGGAGTCGGGGGCTAGGAGCCCGGCTATGTCCTCAGCTGTTCTGCTGAGGTCTGAGGAATCCTGCCTGGCTCCCCGATGCCCCGGGACCCCGTGGGTGTCAGGTGGTTTACCATAACCGAGTCACATAAATATTCAAGGGAACACGAGACAGTTACCTTCCAATATATTATTAAATTCTTCCCGTCAGAGCGCCACTCTCTCCAAGTGTCCGGTCCCTTGGAAGGAACTAGGAAAGAGATGGAAAAGTTAGCACGTGAGGATGCTACTACATCAGCTGATGTCAATAATTGAGATGGTGGTGCTTGAAGTTTGTTTCTAGGCTTCTGGAATTCTTGGTAAGAATGGGAAACACACTCAGTGGCTTCCACCTGAAAATGAAGAAGGAAATGCTCTCCACCCCGACAAAACACCAGGCCCCTTAGCATGGTAACCACCCCCTCACGGCTGTCAGTGCTGGGTAGAGTCCTCCTCTGTCCAGTCGGCCGTGGCCACACACTGGCTTCCTGGCTGCTTTCAGACCTGCAGAGGACGCCTGCCCGGGCTTCCTGACTTTCTCACCCTCCCTTCCCCTGCGTAGCCACCAGGCTGGCTCCCTCACCCAGGGTCACCTTGTGCCCGAGGTCCCGCCCGGCCACCCTATTTAAGATGGCAACTCCCCTCCCCACCACCCCGTCTTCATTCCTCGGCTCCCTTCCTAGGTTCTATTTTTCCCTGTGGCACTCACTACCACCCGGCATACTAATATACAATAAAAGTAATGATTTCTAAATCTCTACCCTCTAGATCCCCTGGGCAGAGATTGCTGTTCTACTGCTGCTCTGTCCCTGGAGACCAGAACAATTCCGGACACACGGTGGGGGACGCAACAGGTATTTGTCAAGTGATGAATGGCTTCACCTGAATGAAGCATAAACAAAATGCTCCTGCCCTTCTGGCTGCAACAGCTCATCAACTGAAGACAAAGCTTTGCCTGTGGGGGCTGCTCCTGCCCTGTGGGTCCCTCCCCTCCCACACCGTGTCAGGGCTGGCTGGTGTGACCAACAAGGAACGGCAGACGTGAAGGTATGTCCCTGCTGTGGCCAGGTCATAAGGAGGTTGTGGAGGCGGCCTTGTTCTCTCGATGACCACTAAGTCCAGGGCAGCCGGCTGCCACCTCGGCAGACACCAGCAGCCCCGTGGGAGGAACGTAGGCTCCTGCCCGCAGCCCTGTGAGAGAACCGCCTGGAGCAGACCCTCTGGCCCCCATCAAGCCCGAGGCCCCCGCCCACGGGGTGAGTGGTCTCAGGAGAGATGCTCAGCGAAGCTGCTCCAGAGTCTCTGACCAGGACACTCACTCACTGTGAGACAGGAAATGTCTGCTGCTTTAAAGCAGAGTGCTGTGGGGTACCTGGTCACACAGCAATAGATGCTCAGGACTCATGATAGGATTCGATTCTGATGCTCCAAGTAAGTCTTACACATACCGCAAAGACCCTCTCCTCTCTCCATCTTCGTGTGGACACAACATCCGATGAACAACCATCACTTTTTGTTTTACTATTTGTCCAATTTGGGAGGAGGAGTTTTATACTCCCTCTATTACAAAATGCAAATAAAGAATGTGCTATCTTTTGATGCATGATTCCTGAAAACCACACCTATTTCTATTTTCTGTTTTAAAGCCGGCAACTGGGGTTCAGGGGTTGAATCTTATTCTGTCTTTGGGGATCATAGTCAGAAAACCAGTTACCTGATTGCATAGCTTATGCTGCTCTAGGTGTAGCTGTGGAAACTAAAGTTGGAGACCTTAGCCCCAGCCATTTCTCAGGCCTAGGTCAGCAATAAAAATTCCAATGAATTCTCTCCATCAACACTTGTTTTTACTAAAAAAGGCAATCTAGATCATGAACAGGAGGAAAGTGTGCGAGAAGAATCTCACCACGATATCCCCACGGTTCCATCACTCTAACATAGACATGACTTGCAGGGAGGGTAGCCTGGTCCTTGCACACAGCACATGCCCAGCATTCCCCATATCATCACGAAACCTTAAAGACGATCATTCAAAATGTCTGTATAATATGTTACCAGCAGGTGTTATATAATTACACAATCTGTCTACCCACTCTCTTGTTTTCAGTCACTTTGGTGACATTTTTCTCTAAAAGCAGTTGTAGCATGACAGGGTCCATAGTAATAATTAACCATAAATCATTCAGTTAACTTACTGGCTTCTGTGGTTAAATATTGTTTTTCATTGCTCCACTTGCTCCATTTCCAGAAAGTTTCACTAGAACAACGAATCCGGAAAGCATACACAGTGTACGGACTTAACTTGTCCACAGCAATGAGGTAATTTGAATTGTCTACTCCTTTGATTGTGACAGTCCGCTATTAGAAAACAAACAATAGGTGCACGTGAAATATCACCTGTATACGAATACATATACCTATACCTATACATATACACACACACACATACACATACTTTTTAAAAATAAGAAAGCCTCCCTAATTTGTAACCAATTTACTGAATGGCCACATGAGTTTGCCTCTCTCAGATCATCCCCTACCATATTTTAATTTGTAGATAAATGCCAAGTCAGTGAAATTAAGCTCTGCAATAGCAATAAACAAAACGGAGGTGTCTTGTATCCAAATATTGAATCTAATGAATAATGGTCAGTTAAATTATGCAGAGAGGAGAACATAAGTTTGGTAAATCAACGGCTAGTGGTGATGCAGTAAACCTTAATATACTTGGGTGGTTTAAGGTGACCTTGAGGGTTGCACATGTCATTCAGGTGTATTAGGAAGCTTCTGGAAGCATGCTTCGGCTTAGCCCTGTTTTTCAACATGGCACTTAGCACCTCTAGTCTGGTGCTTAACCTGCAGACTATTCAACAAATATTTAAACTAAATAAAATTAAAAGGAAGCCATCCAAAACAAATTTGAGGATCTGCACACCCCGGGGGAGCCTGGGATCTTCCGGTTATTTACTCCAAAGGAGCTTTCAGAGTTACAGCTTGCAGTGCAACTGAAGACAGTCTAGAGATCATTACTAAGTTTCCAAATGAATTTCTAAGTATGATATCATTTATTTTGGACGTTACCACCAATTACAAGGTGGTGCCGTATAAAAGTCAACCTGAGTATTTAAAATGTATTAAGAAGTCATGTTGTGACTTATAATAACCGATTATAACTTGCTCCTGCAGCTGCACTTAGCGGTTTTAAAATCACATCTTCTCTCCGGTGCCAATTAGTCCATTATCTGATGCTAAAGGTTACAGCAGAAGCCACTCGCTAATTCACAAATTTGTTGAGCACCAGCTACACGCCAGGTGCTACACTAGACCCAGAAACAATCTGAGTAAAAGTCAAACTTATGCTCCACAGTAGCCAGTATTATAGTCGTTTCCGAGTGCCACACACAATGCTGTCATTACATGCATACATAATATCGTGGTTCTTAGTAAATCTCTGTAATCAATACTCAGAGCTTATGCATATAAACTTACTTAGTTATTTTTGAAAACGAAGTATTTTATCAATAATAACCTCTAAGGAAGTTTGCAGGAGAATCCTACTCACCAATTCCCGTACTGAATTAGCTTTGTTAATTTCAACTTGACATAACAGTTTAATCTTTGCAAAGTTGCCTGGTAAATGCCAGGAAAGTGTGACAGCTGTTGAATTAATATCCTTCACTCTGACTGAGGTAGGAGTACGAGGGTAAACTGTAAATACAATTTTTAAAGATGAATGACTTTAACAGCTATTTTCTAACATGACAAATGAGAATCAAGGACAATAAAGATCAAGAGAGGTACTGTCAGTGCCGATCAACAACATTCTCTCAGTGTTTGTGAAATACGCAAACCTCGCTGCTTCACTGCCAACCACGTGCCAACATTTTTTAAGAACCGACCTCGCTCAGGTTCCTGAACTGGTGTCAGGAATACTAAAAGGTGGTCAGAGCACCGTCTCTACCTGCAAGGAACCCCTGACTTACGTGGGGGGGATGACAAACCAAAAGAGAGAAAATGAAGAAGAGAACAGATGCTAAATTCTAAATGTGGGACACACATACTAAGCCCCACAGGAATTTAGACATAAACGTGGTCAGGGGAATCCTACAGTGAAGACGGGACTGGGGATGAGCCTGGAAAGAAGAATCAGACTAAAGCTGGCAAAACGGACGCAGGAAAGCATTTCAGGTCAGGGTCTTGGCACAGTGGAGCAAAGTGCATGCTACGCTGGTGACCACGCACGCCCCGGTCTGATGGTGGGGAAGACTCATGTGGTGAATAAGGCTGAAATGGCAGAGGGCAGACAACGACACACAAACGCTGTCAAGTACAAAATGTAGCCATCGTGTCCTTAGGTAAAATAAGGAAATAAGAAAGACGCTGGGAGGAAGATGATTTACATGTAACAAACAAGGCAGCAGGACCACGGCCCATCACTGGCCAGGTTGCACCAGAGGGCGTCGGGTTTAAGCCCTTCTCCGCGTCTGTTAATCTCCGTGCTGCAGAGCCCGGCACGGCTGGTGCGCATGGAATGACCATGGGGATGAAGGCCAAAGTGCCGGGCCATATTTTATCTCTATTTTAAGCTACAGACTCATAGGATTGGCAAAAATTTAAGAAGTCATCAAGCAGTGAAAAGGAGTGAACTATTCACTGATCCATATACCTTGGATGGATCTCAAGGATATTACCCTTAGTAAAAAACGCCAACCTCCATAGGTTACATGCGGCACGATTCCACTCATATGACACTCTCAAAATGACCACACAACGGAGATGAAGAGCAGATTGGCTGCTGCCCAGGGACAGGGATGTGAAAGCGTGTGAGCGTGTGCGTGTGTGTGTGTGTGTGTGTGTGTGTGTATGAGGGCGGTGTTAAAGGGACAGCATGAGGAGGTGCCTTCATGGTGACAGCAGTCTTGACTGTGTTGGTTCCATGAATCTAAACATAAATCCAATCACAACACACACACACACACACACACACACACACACACACACACACACAACTGAATGCATATAAAAACTGGTGAAAGCTGGGGCTGGGCAAGGTCGGTAGTGTGGTTCGCAGTACTGTTCCGAGGTCAGTTGCCTCGTTTGGATCTTGTACTACAGTAACATCAGGGGTTACCACTGGGGAAAGCCAGGGGTCTAATTTATTACTTTCTGCAACTACTTACCATTATTTCAAAACAAAAAGTCTTTAAAAATTGGGCAATTTTTTTTTTTCAGAAATCAAAAACTATTAGATAATGCCACTGACAGTTTCTATGTAAATCAAATGACCTTCAAAATTTTACCTGGATTCAACAAAACGGTGAAACTTGAAATTACATATTTAAAGCTTTTAAAATGACATTTACAAGGTTAATACTAAGTAATTGTACAGAAAATAATCAGTAAAAAGTAATCCCTAGACCAGTGATGGCGATCCTATGACACGCGTGTCAGAGGTGATATGCAAACTCATTTTTTGGTTGATTTTTCTTTGTTAAATGGCATTTAAATATATAAAATGAATATCAAAAATATAAGTCTCTGTTTTACTATGGTTGCAAATATCAAAGAATTTCTATAAGTGACACGGCACCAGAGTTAAGTTAGGGTTTTTCAAAATGCTGACACACCGAGCTCAAAAGGTTCGCCATCACTGCCCTAGATGGACTTTTCATTGATCTCAAGACATTTTGCCACTTCTAAGTTATTGTAAGTCGCTGGTTTGTGTAGCAGCTTACCTTTTTCAGTCACATTGATGAAAATTGTTGATTCTGATTGACCGAGAGGATTGCGAGCATTCAAAGTAAAATCATATATTTCTTGGTTTGGAAGCACTTGAAAGAATAACTGATAGCTTTCATTAATGGGAGCTTCAACTCTTTTAAATTTAACAGATTCTCCAGAAAAACTGAAAATTAAGAGAGGAATAAGAAATATTAAAATAATATCAAGACCTGGCCTGGTAGCTCAGTTGGTTGGAGCATCATTCCAAAACACCAAGGTTGCGGGTTCGATCTCCAGTCATGCCACATACAAGATCAACCAATGCATACATAAATAAGTGGAACAATAAAACCAATGTTTCTCTCTTTCTCCACCCCCACACTCTAAAATCAATCAATAATTTTTTTTTAAATATCAAAATGGCAAGAGATAAACGGTGCAGGAAAAAATGAAAGGGTAAATTTCTAACAATTAATGTTTTCAAAGTATTTCTATTTCTAATTATAGATGTACTACATCCTCAGAGAAGAAAGTGCATACGATAAGTAAACAGAAGAAAATAATCAGCCGTAAGCCCGCTATCGAGAAACAGTCTTCGCTCGTATTTGAGGCTTCTTCCTTCTGGGTTTGTGAAAAAGGAGACAAATCCAGCCTGCACGCATCGAGCTGCAGTATATCCCATTTTATACGACGTATCTGGCTTTCTAACTTGCTCATAATATAAAAGAGACAGAGCACTTTGCTGTATCATGTGACATCATTCTAGTGGACTCCATGCTGCTTAAGGCTGGCGTCTTTTCCTGGTGACGCTTACCTTTCAAACAGAGTGTAACTTGTACTGCGTGGGCCCACCAAAGCCGTCGGCCTTCCTGGGTCCCACGTACAGATAATCTCTTTTAAGTCATAAGTCTCACAGTTCAGCTTTTGAGGAATATCAGGTGGATCTGAAAGGAAAAAGAAAAAAAATGTACTTATTTTGACATCTATGCCCCCTGAAAATGTTCTGTTTCATATATGTTAATTATATTTTGTACCATTTCTTTAAAATGAGATAATGTACTGTTCATATTTTACTTTTTGAACAATGCAGGAATTACTGTTCTTTCCATAGCATGTTTGTTCAGAGTTCGTATTACATAAGAAATGACAGATTAAATTATACTGAAGAGTGACTACTAGTATTAGCTCATCTGAAAATTCCTCAATAGCAATTTGAAGATAGCGACTATATTTTCTCCCCTTAAATACTATTTGAGTCTATAAAATCTCTCAAAGGAAGGTGTGTCCAATAAGTTAAGTCAGAAAAATCTACAGGTTAAACATATTATTATGGATCATATATATGGCTTGAAAAGAAGTACCAAGTCATATTAAAAGTCAACCGAAGTCATGTTACAAGTTTCAAGTTCTTAAGTAAGTCCCAAGGACTATTGTCTACAAAGTAACTCTCAGTAAAATCTGCATCTCCCTATGTTGAAAGTGAATTCTGCTCTTCTGTCATTTTCATTCTTTATTGAAACCATTCTCTCTGGCTTTGTTCAGGAAGGACCAGAAAAAGAAAAAAAAGGGTTTTTTTTTTGTTTGTTTGTTTTTTTTTTTTTTTTTTTTTTTACGTGTGTCTGAGACTTTTAAAGTGATAAGGGAAAAATTCTATAGTCTGACAATGATTATAGAAATTGGTATTTCTGTGATGTTTCACCGAAAACATAGGGTGTCCCAAAACTTTATCCAAACTATCTGCCACTGAAGGTAAGCTTTTTAAAAAACAATTATCTACTTATTGAAAAATTATGTAAAATAATCTTATTTTAAAACAACTAAATGTTCAAAAAAGTTCTTAGTTTATCAACCAAGACTTAGCAAATTTCACATACCTGCTCCAGAGATAAGAATAATGTCCTACAGTAATGTTTTAGGTACTACCAGGAGTGATGAGTATTTATATCAAAGTCTAACAAATGGATATTGAAACTAATACTGACATATTTGGTTTGAAATTTGTTTTAAATCTAAGGCAAAACTTCCAGTCACTTTATTAAAATGATAGCATATTTTTAGTATATTTTAAATGCTTATTATTTTAGTATTTGGCAGGCATATTAAGTTGAAATACTTCAATTCCAAATAACAGGCGCAATGTAGAAAGAAGTAGAAGCAAAGAGAGAAAGAGAAAAAAAATGTCAGAGGGCAGTATTTACAAGTTAATGTATGGCTTTTCTTTTCCTTTCAAAGACATTAACTGACAAAAGAATCAACTGAAGCTAGGCAAACTAGGTATAAATCAATTGTATTCCTATGTACCAGCACATAACAATTTAAAAATCAAAGCCATTTTTATGAAAATATTTTCAAATGAGAAAGTATTAATTTGACATGTGATATTAATATTTACATGTTCCAATCCTATGTCACAGTGTATTATTTTAGAACATCTTAAGTATGATGAAAGATTAACACTTAGGTCAATATTTAATGCTGAAGTAGCTCCAGCGATAAAAATGACTCATATGATATGAATGATTACTGAACAAATAATGTTCACAGATCTGTTTTGCTTATGATTAAATTAGCTCATACATGAACACGGACAAGTATTGGCAAATAACTATTCTCCTGTCTGTGAAATGATAAAATTTATTTTCAATTACAAGAATAAGCTTGAGAAGTAAAAAAAAAAAAAAAAGCCATTTTTAATTGGCATAAACATAGGAGTAAATTTACTAAAAGATATACAAGACCTCTTACCACCAAGATAAATTAAAGAAGACCTACTAAATGGAGGGCTATCCCATGGTCTTGGTTTGAATGACTCAATACTGTGAGAAAGAAAATTTTCCTAAGTTGATAGATTTAATGTAATCCAAATCAAAATATTGGCTGGTTTTTATTACGAATGTGTGTGTAGAGGGGGAAGCTGACAAACTGATTCTAAAATTCTTTCCAGTCTTTTCAATAAATTGTGGGTTAACAGGATGCCCACAGAAAGAAAACAAACAAAACTCCCTTCCTCACACCATAAACTGCCCTGGTTGTAAGTTTCTAAAGAGCTCCCTTCAGAGGGAAAGTCTACAGCTGCTTCTAAGTTCACAAATAGTGAGTGATATTTCCACCGACAGATGTTACAAGTGAAGGTTAAATTAGGAAATAAATGGGTTTGTTCTAGAACTCTGGTAAAAGATTAGAAGACTAAAATAATAACACCTGTGAACATTCTCATCCTTTAAGTTTTAACTTTTTTCTTTCATGTTTGTAAGTGGATATCTCACTTTTTGGTATCAGCTCATGGGCAGCTTCCCTCCGTATACCACTGCTTCTCAACTTAGACTGCACATCATATCCTAAAATACCATCAGGAAAGAAAATCTAATTTTCTGAAACTTAAATTTGAACATAACCTCACCCTCACATGAATTCCAGTGCATTACTGGGGAGGCCAAAAGAGAGTAAGGTTACGGCCAACAAGCTGAGAAGTGCACCTAATCCTGGTTCTTCCCTTGGAAGTGGATCAGCAACTGAAGGTAACTCATCCTAAATGTCTATGGATGTGGGACAGAGATGGAGGGCTGCTGACCTGGAGCACAGCTGAGAATCAGAAGAAAGTGTAAGAGCCTGGTGGGTGTGGCTCAGTGGTTGAGCATCAACCTATGAACCAGGAGGTCAAGATTCAATTCCCAATCAAGACACATGCCTGGATTGCAGGCTCGATCCCCATTGCGGGGTGAACAGGAAGCAGCCTATCAATGATTCTCTCTTTACCTCTCCCGTCCTCTTTGAAATCAATAAAAATATATCTTATATAATAGAAGCCTAATATGCAAATAAACTGAATGGTGGAATGACCGGTGGAACAACCAGTGGCTATGATGCACACTGAGCACTAACACAGATACTCAACACAGGAGTTGCCCCCAGCCCACAGGCCCCAGGCCGACCAAGGTGGGTGCCAGCGGGGGCCCCCTCTGATCTCCCTGCCAATTGCCCCACGGATCAGCCCTGATCTCCAGCCAGGCCTAGCATGAATTCCATGCACTGGGCCTCTAGGTTTTTTTTATAAAAGCATAAGAAAATCACAAAGCAATCGAAACCCAGTCACTATATTTCACACTCTTCATTTCAGGAGACCCTTAGACCACTCGCAGAGCCTTTGAATGAAGAATGCTGGGGTTGGGGGAGGGGGACAGAGTTCCTGCTGGAGACAGAGCTATCTCTGCGCCAGCCCAGCGTGACCTCAGGGGAGGGGACCAAGAACTCATAACAACCTTATCTGTGCACATTCAACACAACCCATATAGATCTGGCAACCCCACAGTGACTTCTGGATTGCCCTGGAGATTAGATCTGTAGGAGTGGAGTACACAAATAGAGAGATGCCCTGCACTCTGGGACACAGGACATACAACACAATAGGGAGGACGTCTTCTCACCCATGTCTCCAGCTGCCCTCTTCTCAAATATATTCTTCTTAAAGTGGGAGAAACAAATACCAAGCTACTGAAAGATTTTGCATAAAATCATTATAATTTCTTTAATTCGGGAGCTTATTTTCAAAAGGTATGCCATAATAAGGTGGAAAATTAACTTAGCTACACTAATAATAGACGAATATGTAAATTGACTGTCCCTTCACAATGCTCCATGGCCAATCAGGAGTGAGTATGCAAATTAACCCAACAATGATGGCGGGCCTGTAGGCAGCGAGCATGTGCGCAGGTGCCAAGGAGCCGGGGGGCGGGGAGGGAAACCTGCTGCATCACCGTGGCAATGCAGAGGACATCCCCGCCCCCCTGGCCACTCTGGGCCTACGTGCACAGTCACCGAGCAGCCTGGGTCCCAGGATTGCCACTGGAGTGTCTGGCCCTGTTAGCCCGGCCTGGGGGCGGCTGAAGTTCCCAGTCCTTTTCCTTTCTGCAGTCCCTGGACTGGAAGCAAAAACCAAGAGCGCAGGGAGCACCAGGAATTCTGGGAATTGTAGTTATGGTGGCAGCCCCTGGACCAGATGCTGAAGCCCAGAGCGTGGGGAGCACCAGGAATGCTGGGAATCGTAGTTCTGGTGGCAGACGGATTTCCTAGACACTAGGGCAGCCGTGGGCAACCTGGACCAGAAGCAGAAGCCCAGAATGTGGGGAGCACTAGGAATGCTGGGAATTGTAGTTCTGGTGGCAGACGCGTTGTGGGATCTCAGAGACACTAGAGCAAAGTGAGCCTGGAGCAAGTTACTGTTGGGAGTGGAGGATGGAGGGAAAGCAAAGTTGAGAGACATAAGTGAAGTCAGAGTGTCAAGGAAAAATTAAAAGGAAGATATCCTGCAAGTTCTAGGAAATCTCCACCGATGGAGCAAAGAAAAAAAAAAAAACGACCTCTACTATTGTGAGCACAAAGCCAAACTGGGTTGGGGTCTCAGACAATTCACTCATGTGATTGCAAAGACAGACAGAAACTCCTGGACTGGAGAGGGCTCCCCTGAGGGCTCCCAGATTGGAGAGGGTACAAGTCGGGCTGAGGGACCCATCCACCATGCATGAATCTTCCTGCACCAGGCTCCTAGTATGAAATCTTAAAGGATTCGGAAATTATATACTAACTTCTCTTGACTCGGCGAACCTGTTAACTGAGAATTTAAAATTCTTATTACGAAACCTACAAGATATATAAATACACGTATGTAGAGAACAAGCTTAGATCTCACCTATAAACAAGCAAAATTTTGCTGCCTTTTATATCATTTATATTAAAGAATAAAAAAATAAATAAGAAATAGAATCACCTCAGGCCCACCGAAAAAGCATTAAGGCTTTCAAAGGACAAAAACTGATTAATAGAAACAGTTTTAAAAAATACGTATTTTATACTTACATCCTGCAAAAACCACTGTTCCATACATGTCTTTGCTTGTCATGAAAACCACATTTGTTCCACTACTTATAGAAGCAGAAATGTTATGGACCTTGATCGCCACATTTTCCCCATCGAGATGAATAAGGGGATACTTGGCGTAGCTGATCTGTGCTGATGACACTTCTTCTTGAGTCACAAAACAGAACGTTATGTCTGAGCCCACAGGTACCACTTTGTCTTGAGGAAAAACCTTATTCTGATTATCAGTAGACCCTAGAAAGACCAAAAGGAATTACAGAGACTTTAGAAGTCTTCTACCATAACGTAGACCAGTGCATACGGAACACACTTTAGCAGCTTTATAATAACGGTGGCCTGAAGATCAGGGATGTCCTCCAGGTTACAGAGGAACAAGCCATATACGAGAAGTAAAGTATGCGTGGTTTTATCTACATATGGTGGAGCGATGGTGGGAACGGAGGGGGTTGTAGGTCAATGTCTAAGGTCATAGGTTCATGTCCAAGAAGTTCTAAAAGTCTTATAAATGGGTTTACTAGTATATCCACACGTGAAAAGTCAACACCAAGCACAAGTCAGTCTTAACTCCCTTCCTGTGAATGGATCTATGTATTTAGGGCAGGCCTGCTACTTCCCATCAGCCTGAAGATACGCTGGAATACTCCACCTCCAAAACAGCACTTTTCCTCTAATCCCACCTCTGTGCAGTTTAAAGCCACACCTCTGGTTTTTGTTCCCTTGAACACCCATCCTTTTAAATTACCTCTAGTCTCCGTTCTACCTACTTACTCT